CAGAATATACAGGACAGAAGATGGCCATTCAGCCCATCGTGTCTGTGCCGGTTCTTTGAAAAGAGCTATCCAAATCAATCCCACACCCCCGCTCTTTCCCCATAACCCTGCAAACCTGTCCTCCCCAAATAATTATCTACTTCTCTCTTAAAAGTTGTTATTGAATCAGCTTCCACCACCCTATCAGATCATGCATTCCAGATCCGAACAAGTCACTGTGTGAAAAAAATTCTCCTCACCTCCCCTTTGTTTCTTTTAACAACTATTTTAAATTGGTGCCCTCGGGTTACCGACCCACCTGCCGGTGGAAATAGTTTCTCCTTGTTCACCCTATTCTAGAAGTAACTCACTTGAGAATCAATGGCAGAGCTGATTATGAAAATCTATCTAGGACAATTTGGCACTCAGATATTTGGCAGCCACTCTGCCCCCACCCTCTGGAAATCCCATCCTGCAGTCCCTCTGCCTTGCCCCCTCCCTTGCCTCCTTCAAGATCCATCTCAAGACCCTCCTCTTCAACCGTGCCTTCAACCACCCTCCTTTCCCCTCTGCCCTCCACCCTCCCCGATTTCTGCCAACCAGCTTGAGTCCGAAACACTGATTGTCCAGCAACTTGGGACATCCTCCCGACGTGAAAGGTGCTGTCCAAATGTAATTTTGTTGTTGTTGTTGCTTTTCATTACGAGTAAGCTTGCCTGTGCAGGCAAATTCAGAATGTAAAAGTGGTATGAGTTAGATATGAAAACAATGCAAAGTTTTATTTGTGATGCTTTCTGATGGAAACATTTTTCAAATTATTTCATATGGAAAATAAATAATAATAAAATTACATTTATGTAGCTTTTATTCCTTTTTAATGAGCAATGAGCAAGTAGCAATGCCGTTTTTCTCCCCATGACTTCATATGTTACTACTTTCAGAGTTCAAATTGGACAGAAATTTACACAGAGGCTCAAATCTTAGTTCAATAAGTCCCAAACATCCTAGGCTATTGAGCACTGGACCAGGGAGGAAAAATATTCTGGGTTTGAATGCTATGTTTATAATGAATCTTCCTAAGTGAGCAGTCTTTGTGTGGTTGTCTGACTCAGAGGAGAAGGTGAAGTCAGATAAGTCCCCATAGTCCAAGACATTGTTGATGGTGGTTTGTCTGGCTCAACTACGAGACTTGATAATTCAGATGTATCATGTGCAACAAAGAGGCTATCATATGCTAATTGATAAATAGTAATGATTTTGCTATGTGTGCTGGATAATAAAATTGCTTTATCATCTTCTATCTATATTAATAAAACGAAAATGTCTGTCTGTGCGTCAGCCAAGATCTCAATTACCGATTGATGTAGTGACATGATTTATACCTCATCGGAAAGGCTTTACATTTAGGATTGTCATGAGCATATTTTTTTCATAGATCTCCTATCATTGATGAGTTATGACCTAAACAAGCTCATCACACATGTATGGCAGTTTTGAGTTTTGTGCTGCAGTTTTACCTTGTGGCTGTGCCAACTCCCAGTGGCACTATGGCATTGTGCATCACAGAGCACATACACACGCACTCAGACGAAGCCAAGCGGCGAGAACAAGATAAAGATGCCTAAGCGAACATCAAGCCTTTCAAGTACAAATAAAAATGCCAGACAAAAGAAAGAAGGCCGATTAAATGAAACCGAAGAACAAGAACAGCACGGCTGCATTGCAATAACTCAAGGACCTGCTAGATCACACAGTAAATCCCTATGGTTAGCGTAGCTTTGATAAAATCTTCTATCGTTCCTGAGCTATGACTCAAACAAGCTCATCGCACAGGTATGGCAGTTTTGCGTAAGGTGTACACACTGTGTTTAAGGCATGTTAAATGGTTTGTGAGTGGTATCACTGAAATCTACATTCCATATTGGATCCTTTGGTTGCAAGCGTAGCTGCAACGGGTACAGCTAGTGAGATAATAATGTAAGAAAAAGATTGCAAGTTTGAGCTACCTGATTATGACAGACACAGAGCCGAGTGAGCAGAGTAGGCCTAACTGTACAAATAATAATCCTTGCATTTGATATTGTGTTATCAGATCTTCGAGATGTTGCAAAGCGCTTCAGAGATTATACTGTAAAGTGTAGTGACTATATATTTTGTGGGCGAAACGAAGCAGCCAATTGCACACAGCAGTGTCCCACAAACAGATGTGGATTGAGTGACTAATTTATTATTATCATTATTTTTTGAAGGAATTATTACCCCGGAAAAGTGATCCACTGTGAAATACAGTATTCCATTGCATTTTCTAGTAAGCTGCGCATTTACCATTAAAATGCAGGTTTAAAATTATTATCCTATATTTCAATGTTCTGCCTCCACAATTCCATTGAGAAACAGGTTTCAAATGTTCTAATGTACAGAGTGTGTGAGCCCCTTTTCTCAATCTTGCTCCTGTCTTCAGAGATGATGAGAGCACATGCATTTATTTTGTATGTGTATGGAGGTGAGATCAGAGAGAATCTGAGGTCATGTTGAGTTTCAACAAACCTTGGCGAGGTGCCAAGATATGTATGCCATCTAGGCATGGAAATTTCCCTCGTCTCTTCAATGTGGGAATCAAGCTGCTTATCTGATTCCGGAGAGTATTAGGCACAGGCTGGCAAGAGCTTGGGGACCCCAATGTTTGTGTTGGGACACTATTGGAGTTTAAGTAAATCAGTAAAAAGTTACATCTACGATATTTTGAATGATGACCCCCCCCAAAAGAAGTTCTACAAATTGGTATATAGTGGCACAGGGGAAATGTATGATGCGAATAAAACTGAGATTTAATGTTATTACAAATGCTCACGGTGCACATGCTTGCTATTATAAAACTTTTAAAAAGAATCTTAAGACATTGAAAATACAATGTTCCTTATCAGCACCTGTTGACCACAGATTCAATTTGTAATTGTAGATTACAACAATAAAATTACATTTGTATAGTGCCTTTCACGTCGGGAGGCAGTCCCAAGGTGCTGGACAATCAGTGTTGCGGATTCGAGCTGGAAGTCGGGATGGGGAGGATGGAGGGGAGGGTGACCGAAGGCACGGTTGAAGAGGAGGGTTTTAAAGGTGACAAGGGAGGGGGCGAGGTGGAGGGACTGTGGCATGGAGTTCCAGAGGGTGGGGGCAGAGTAGCAGAAGACTAAGGAAGGAGTTAACCATTTGCAAATATTTCTCAGACCCAGACTTGACCAATTTTAGCTGGGGGACACTGGAGAAATCCCTTTCTCTTTTTGAATAGTGCCGTGGGATCTTTTAATGTTTATGGGAACAGGCAAAAGTTTAATGTACACAGTTCAGTGTCGGTAGAGTCCATGCAGTAGGAATTGAAGAATATAAAAATGATGGAAATAAATTAAAACATGAGATTCAGGACCTGGCTAAAGGGAAAGCCCTTGGTAACTGGAAACATTTACACTGAAAAAACATTTAAAGGTCATGTTATTGATTTTTTTTTCAATTCCTAAAATGTATGGACAAGCTGGAATCCAATAATATGATCAATATAGGGTCTAATTAGCTGTTCTATATTTCTAAAATCAAAATCTGCATGTACCAACCTGCCATAAGGTTTAATCTACATGTATCCCATGACAGTATTTTCTTTGTTTGCACAAAGATACCAGATCTTATCAAAGGCTTGCGGCTTCAAATTGTGGAAGATACAACCATGACAGCAAACCATGTGGTAGAAATAAAAGAAAAAAAACGATGAGTTGTTGAAATGTTGTTCCGGCAATTATTTTTGTGGTTACATTTCATAAAAATCTGTTGTGGATCTCATAAATGGTTGTAATAATAATCCTTGCATTTTTATCATGTCATTGAGACATCTGAAAGTGCTTCACAACTTTCAAAAAAATGATTGTGTATTTTGTGACAAAATTGAATTGTTCCAAAACAACAAAATTACATTTGTAAAGTGCCTTTCATGTCGGGAGGACGTCTCACAGTGCTGAACAGTCGTGAATCTGGACCCGAGTGTGGGGAGACAGGGTTGGGTTATAATTCCAGAAATGACTGGGATGTTCAAAATGACCATGGCATTGCTGGGCAGGTTACAATTGGAACGATAAATGGAGAGTTTAGTGTGGCCAAGTATGTGTTTTATGATAGTATTGAGAGTGGGGTGGAAGCCAAATTGCAGGGACTCATAGATGAATTTGATAAGTTTTCATGCTTGAAATATATCAGCAATAATTCAGAGCCAGTTTTGACAGGTGCAGAACTTGTATGACATTGTCACCTTACTGCCTACAAACTGTGAAGTCTCAAGGGAGTTTGCCTAAAACCTGACTCGGTTGTATTTGTTATTAAATACTGAGAAGAAACAATAATTTGAGAACATTTACTTTTGTTTACTGCTGTGTTTCTGCTGTTTTTGAAACTTAAAATGAATATGCTGAATATTTTTCAAGGTTTAGGATTTTCTGCCCTCACAAACTGTCTGAATTTGTAAGCTCAAAAGAGATAAGAAACTGTGACCCATTTTATCCTTGGAGCTGCAAGTCTTCAAACAATTGTGGCATATTTCCTTGGTAACCCATGAAGCACCGGAACAAAACCTTATATTTCAGTGCTGGGATAGAGAACTTAATCTATTTATACCAACTTATTGTATTTAACGTTCAGATCAGGCAGTGAAAACGCTGATTTTTATTCATGTTATTTCTCTTTTGTTTGACAAATTATTTCATTCCGTTGCTTGAGTGGCTCACACACAGCCAGTGCTTTGCCCTTCTGTCTGCAGATGGTGCTGTTGTTTCCTCTCTGGAATTTTTCATTAGAATAAAGAGGGTTTCACATGGAGCATTTCGATTAGATATGCATATTTGCTTGCGGTTTGTGTGCATAATTCAGTAAATCTTGTTAATATGCATAAAACTACCTTATCACAATAAAAGTAACTGTCACTATTTTAGTAACATGCATATCTGCTTGAAGTGAAAAAGATATATATAAAATACACTTACAGGATTTTGAAGTTCTCTTTCAGTTGAATATTTAAAAGAGTCCTCAGCAGCTGTATTGCACACTTTTAGTCTGAAACATATTACATAGAATTGCATAGAATGTACAGCACCATAACGGGCCATTTGGCCCAAATGGCGTTTATACTCCACATGACTTTGCATCCCTCCTAAAACCCTCTCCTTACCCCCCCCCCCCCCATCCTTCTATCTATATGGAGCATAATACAGCAGGCATTATAAACTATGTCTAGTTTAGACATAGCGTTTGCATTTGATATAGCGCTTTTCGCGTCTTCTAGACGATATTATACCATACTTCTTGATGTCACTTTCAAAATAAATTCTCTTCATACTGTGTAAGTTCCAGTGGTCTGCCAAAGGTTGCAAAGTACAAAATTGCTGCAGTGCGCTTTTAATGTTTTGTTTCAAAATGATTTCATCAAATATAATCAGGCGGCTCCACATTACTCCAGGGCGCTGCTGGAGATAGCCCAGCCAGCCTGACTTCATGGCACCATCTAGAAGGGCTGGCCAGTCACTGGGGGCTTCCCACTCAGCGCCTTTTCACAGGCCAAAGCCCTAATGGGTAGGGTAGTCCTACTCGGACAAACAGCGGGCAAGCTTGCAAAGCAGTGCCCAAAGCTTTGCTGGTGTAGCTGGTTAGACTCCAGCAGTTACCCCCCCCCCCACCCCCAACACACACTCTGGGGTCCCAAACTTGCCTAAAGTTGCGCCCTGCCCGGGAATCAAACCCGGGTCCTCTCGCTTGCGAGGCGAGATCGCGGACCGTTACGCTGCGGGGGGGGGGTGCCAAGATGAGAGTTCTGGTCGACAATCCTTCAGGCAAAAAAAACCTGACCGATGTTTGCGGGGACAGTACTGTGGGCAAAATGGCTGCCGGGTTCGCCCAGAAACACTCGGTCACTCCACCATAATTACCTGTGAGACCTTCCCACGCTGTACCAATTGCAATATTATAAATGCTGCTCTCAGCTGGACTGGGAGGGGTGCTGGTGGCCAGGTAGCCATGTATTTTGTTGGGGGAAAGACTCCCGCGGTGGTGGTGGTGGTGGGGAAGCTCTCACTGCACGTGGCCGAGCCGTCGACACTCGGGCAGGTGCCCCAGAGCGAGCGGAGGAGGGACTGCGCCTCCACGCGGTGACCGTTAGGCTCGCGCGCCATTCAAATCCGAGCTGCGCGAGCGGCGGCTGCGGGGGTGGAGCGGGGAGGGGGCGACAGGAGGCGGAGCCAGGAGAGGGGGCGGGGGGGCGGAGCCACAGACTCGCCATGCGATACGCTGGCGAGAGCTGGAGTGACGTGCACCTTCTGCGGGGCGACGCCGTGGCGCAGAGAGGAAGCGTACGCTTGCGTGTGTTTGCGCGCGGGCGGGCGGTCTCCACTGCTTGTTGTCAGTAAGATGGCGGATTCCTCTCAGCCGGTGGTTTTCCGCGTCCTGTCCGTGTGAGGAGCAGAGCCGCGGCAAAGCGAGCCAGAGGTGACAGAGGGCAACCGCAGCCTCCATCTCTCTCTCGCTCTCTCAGGAATGGTGGATAGTTAACGCCTCCCGCAACCCTCTGCTGTCTATGTGTTTATAAGAATTTTTAAAAGAAAACTTCAGAAGAAAACAAATCATGAAATTCGCCGAACATTTATCAGCTCACATCACGCCGGAATGGCGCAAGCAGTACATCCAGTACGAGGTGAGGAGAGCTGGGGGGGAGCGAGCGAGGGGCCGCCGAGGGATGCGGACTGCAGGAGGGCGCCTGGACCGGGGGAGGCTGGGCTCCGGCACAGGGACGGGGCGAGGGTCCGGCACAGGGACGGGGCGAGGGTCCGGCACAGGGACGGAGCGAGGGTCCGGCACAGGGACGGAGCGAGGGTCCGGCACAGGGACGGAGCGAGGGTCCGGCAAAGGGACGGGGCGAGGGTCCGGCACAAGCACAGGGTCCGGCAAAGGGACGGGGCGAGGGTCCGGCACAGGCACAGGGTCCGACAAGCTGGGGCTGAGGTTGGGGGTCCGGCATTGGGGGCAGCGACAACGTATGGGTCGCGGGGATGGAGAGTGACAGGTACAGTCTGACTGGGGAGAGAGAGAGAGAGAGAGAGGGGTTTCGTGAAGCCTCGGAGATACGTAGAGTAATGATTGGGGTCTATAGAAGTGAAAGGTTGCATCTTTGTGCGATATTAATAATAATCCTGGCATTTGCTATAGCGACTCATCACGTCTGCATTATTTTGTGAGTGAAATGCAAGGACCTGTGATATGTTAGCCAGAGAGGTTAATATAGCTGAACATAACTGCACTTGCATAGGTTAAAAACCCGTGGATAATAACAATCCTTACATTTGATATGATGCCTTACCGCTTCGTTGAGACGTCTCAAAGCGCTTCACAGAATATATCGTAAAGTGGATTTATTGTGTATTTTGTGGGCGAAACTGGGTAGTCAATTGTGCACAGCAGTGTCCCTCAAACAGTACATCATGAATACAGTTTATGATGAATACAAAAAATATGGATGGAGGAGATGGGTTAATGTCAATGAAATATATTGTCAGGGTAAGGCAAGAACTGGAGAGAGGATACACATAGCTGACAAGGTAGTGAAGAGCAGTGTTAATGTGAACTAAGTCTCTGGTAACAGTCTGTCTGTCCAAGGTACGTAATGGTTGAGATGATGTGAACAGCTTTATTTAAGACGTTGCAGCAATTGATTTATTTTGGAACATACTACAGAATGTTATTCTGTAGGTAGTGTATTTTAGGATTTCTATCTATAAGAATTCCTGTATGTGAAAATTGACCTTTTATCAGTCCCTATCTGAGACTTGAATCTCTAACCTTCTGACTCCGAGGTGAGAGTTCTACCAATTAAGCCAGAACTTATGCTTGTTTAATATACATGAATCCACACCGCCCCCAGAAAAAAAGATGTCATTTGAAGGAAATGTTCTATCATGATCTGGAATCACTGTTAGGGAGTCTAAATTTTCCAACCTCATTCCAACAGGAAATCGTAAAGAGCAGAATTGTTATGAAGCTGTTTACTATTAAGAATAAGAAAGAGAAATGTAATATACCCACATCATTACATTGTATACAATTATATGTATATATTAGTTCTATTCATGATCTATACATATTCAAACCATTTGAGACAGAACTCAAAACAGAGAGATGTGAAAGGTGTGCAGTGAGCTAATGTTCTGTTACCATAGCAGCCCTTTAATTCTGCAAAAAGTACTGCAATGACGCTAGGGGACTTGGAGGAGTGCTTTTTTAAAAAAAAATTGCACCTATTATATTGGACCAACTCGAACTACCTTACAATGGCGAGCAAGTTGTAGCGACAAATGCCTCCTGCATGGTCTTAAAATTGGAACTAATAGCAATCATGATAGAGAATGGTGAATATGAAAAAGTGATAAATACAGTAAGAAAGGAAAAGATAAATTGGAATGTGCGTGTAGAGGGTCTTCAGACTGAAATGGGTGTATAGAGGGTCATGTCCCAAGATCCTTCCTGTAATTGTTGAAGGTCTTTGTTTTGCTTTCTCCTGAATCAGTTGCTGATGCGTGCTAAATTTCCCCACCCCATATGCACATATACTTATTCCTAGATGTGCACAATCCAATGTCATATTCTCTATGTGAATACCAGGAGTTCTAGCACACGATTACAATTGATCTCACTGTCGCCTCCAAATTGACATGAATGTTACAATTTCTAAAATACTGTAGTATAAAATCATGAGAATATATATGAACATGAAAAACCTTGTTGTGTGCCTCAACTAATAATAATAATCCTTGCATTTGATATAGCGCTTTTCACGTCGGGAGGACGTCCCAAAGCGCTTCACAGAACATACTGTAAAGTGAATTGACTGTATATTTGTGGGCGAACGCGGCAGCCAATTGCACAGCAATGTCCCACAAACAGTCGTAGATTGAAAATGACCAATTTATTATTCTTTTGGTTTTGGAGGGATTATTATTAGGCTCTGTGTGGAGTAAGGAAACTTGCCCAAGGTTTCGCCCTCTGCCTGGAATTGAACTCAGGTCTCTCGCTTGCAAAGAGAGTGCTCTAACCACTGAGCTACAGGACTCCATTATTAATAGTAATAATAATCCTTGCATTTGATATAGCGCCTTATCACGTCTTCAAACCATCTCAAAGAGCTTCACGGAATATATTATAAATTGGATTGACTGTATTTTGTGGGCGAAACGAGGGTAGCCAATTCTGCACAGCAGTGTCAGTCAGTCGTGGATTGAGTGACCAAATTATTTTGATTTTTTTTTAAAAAAGGGATTATTACCTCCGGAAAAGCAATCCGCCAATTGACTTAAAGTACAATTGAGAGATAGAGCAAGTAATACGTAAATTTCAGAACACTTACAACGTAACAAATGTCTGAGGCAGAGGTAATGGCTAATATGAAATTGGCAACTGTAATACTTCCTTTACTATATAATCTGTTAGTATACAAATTGGTGGAACAGGGCAGTACACTAGCAAATAGAGTTGATAATGATGAATTAACAGATTATAGAATATCTCTCTATTATTTGGCATGAAAACAGGAAGGGCATCACAGCAGAAGAGAGAATTGATGCCGAGCAAACAATCAAAAAAAGTAAACGTTCATATAGAGGTGAAGGGACAAGCCAGAGGGATATGCTAGGAAGATGAGAAGACTAGTAAACTAGTAACTTTGATCAAAAATAATATCTTTAGTATGAGGTAAAGCCTGAATGCGTTAGTAAAATGCAGATTTGAGTCCTGGAGATTAATGGCCAACTGTACAGGGTTAGGATTGCAAGCAATCATTTCTTGTGTCGCAGGACACAGACAATAATGTTCCAAAGGTATGTAAGTGCTTACAGATGCAATACATTCAGTAGGAACTCAACAATGAGTATTTAGAGGATTCTAGTTTGTATAATCAAAGATAATTGGAGTCCTGTGGCTCAGTGGTTAGAGCACTCGCTTTGCAAGTGAGAGACCTGAGTTCAATTCCAGGCAGAGGGCAAAACCTTGGGCAAGTTTCCTTACTCCACACAGAGCCTAATAAGAATCCCTCCAAAACAAAACACAATAATAAATTGGTCATTTTCAATCTACGACTGTTTGTGGGACATTGCTGTGCGCAATTGACTGCCACGTTCGCCCACAAATGTACAGTCAATTCACTTTACAGTGTGTTCTGTGAAGCGCTTTGGGACGTCCTCCCGACGTGAAAAGCGCTATATTTAATGCAAGGATTATTATTATTATAATTCTTGCATTTGATAAAGTAGCAGCCAATTTGCACACAGCATTGCCCCACAAACCGTGATGATAACATAACAATAATCCTTGCATTTGACATAGTGCCTTATTACATCATTTGAGATGTCTCTAAGCATTTCACAGAATATACTGTAAAGTGAATTGATTATATTTGTGTGGGCAAAATGCGGCAGCCAATTGAGCACAGCAGTGTCCTACAACAGTTGTGTGATGAAGGATAGAGACTTGAAGGGTATAAGACAGGGTAGTGGGTAGTGAGTGTGAATAAACACCTTGCTCTGAGAGCCAGTGTAGACTCGATAGGTTGAATGGGCCTCGTGTACTGTAAAATGTCTTGATTCTATGGAGGCTACGCTGAACATTCCCAGTGCAATTTTCCACATGAACATAGTATTTTTATGTGTCCTTACATCTATGAAGCTCACCATGATCAAAGTCTGGTTTAAACTACCTTGCAAAATATTTCCACTGAAAGCTGTAAAACTGATAGCAGTATGTGTGATTAGGTCAGTCTGTTTGTATGAAATGCATTATCAGTGTGATGGAGAGTTTGAGCAAATTTGCGCTAGTCCCGTATCTCTCATTGAAAAGGACAAGATTTGTCTGGATTAGTTCTGGAATCGCGTGAAAGATAAATGTAGTAAAACAGTAACGTGTGTGGCCTTTAAGCATTACCCTCATACGTGGCAATACCAAACAGTGTTTTGTGGAAGAGAGAGTATTGAAGTGTTCTGGAATAAAAATAAATTCATTCACATTGTTTTTAATTAAAAGCAGGGCAATGACAATGAGAAAAATAATGTAGTGAAGGATAATGAATCTTTCCTGGAAGGGGAAACTTTGCTTTTAGTGTTTGCAGAGTTTTTTTTTCTGGTCAGCCGGGTGTCCCCGACGCATGAGGAAACCCATCGTCCATGCTAAAGAGTATCCAAACCAGACTGAGGACTCCATACATCCCACCGATGGCATGGAAATTCCAGAGATAGATTGTTGGAATGGACTATGCACTCTCTCCGTGCATCCTGCTTAGCTAATTCCGGAAGGTTTTGGGCACAGATTGGCAAGGACCAAAGCTTTGGGGACCCCCGAGTGCTTGAGGCACCGCTGGAGTCTAACCAGCTCAGGTTAGACTCCAGCAGTCAAACCACATAGCTTGCCATTGATAGCACTGTCTGGGAAGCTTTCCCGCTGCTTGTCTAATTAAGACCACCCTACTGGTTAGGGCTTTTTGGTTTGCAGGGTTTACAGGAGCAGGGTGGGAGGATTCCCTGCCCCCAGTGACTCGTCTGCCCTTCTAGGTTCTGCCGATGAGGCTTTCATCAGCAGTGCCCTGGACCCACCTTACTCAGAAATGGAACTACTGAGACCCCACAGAGCGCTGGATTCTGACATTCCATCAACAATCCTCCAGATACTGTGTATTGGTCATTTACTTCAAGGATGTTTTTAATGAGAACTTGTGGAGAATTTATCTGCCAATTTAGCCAACCAATGCACGAACAGTCACTGCACTTGCTAACTGACAACAAATTGTCTTAAAATAAAAAAGGAATTGTTGCATTTGATATAGCACCTGTCACATCGTGATGGCGTTTCAAAGCGCTTCAAAGGACTGTAAAGTGTAGCACCACAAAGCCTTTCTTATGAAAGTGCTTTTTGGTGCTTGCACACCATAGACTCTCCTAATACAAGGATTAGTATGACTGGAGGATACAATTGGGGAAACACTATTTGTGTTTTTCAGATGTTCAAGAGATGGCTGGTTTGTGACAGCAGTTGCATCTTGCCTATTGCTGTCTATTAGGCAGCAAGATGTTTCAAAACATTATGCTTTCATTGTGAGAACAGAGAGTGGGCTTGTCAGTAGTGGAGCAGTTAATTTATGGACTTATGCTGCTCGGGGGTTGATAAAGACTGTCCAACAAATAGTTCATTTAGTTTGAATCGAGAGTCGCTGAGTACAATGTAGTGTTTGTGTCCGTGCCTGCCAAAGAACATCGGGACTACATGAATGGAGTTGGAGGAGAAAGCAATTAGTGCTGGTGTGTGCAAGGCCAAGGTATCATAGGTAGATTATTCACTACAAAGTAAATGAGTCCAAGTGTAGTGTATCGAGAGTCTTGTGCCACAAGTCTTGTGCCTTACTGTAAAAGTTAGTGTTGTGAATTGAAGTTTTTTAAGTTGTGGATGAATATGGAACGGAGGTGTTGCGCTTTTGACGCATTGTATACCTTGAAGCCAAGTTCAAATAATGATTATGACCAGAGAGAAGAAACAGTTTCTCCCTATATATTTTTATCAAAATCTCTCATAATTTTGAACATCTTTATTAAATCTCCCCTCAACCTTTTCTACTCTAATGAGAATAATCCAGCCTCTCTAGTCTCTCTACAAATTGGAGTCCCTTATCCCTTGTTTCATTCTGGTAAATCTTCACTGCACCCTTGCCAAGGCTTTGGCATCCTTCCTAAAGTTTGGTGCCCAGTTTTGATTTGCTTTTTAGCATATCTAATGATGTGTGAATTGATATTATGCGCCGTAACACTGGCTATTGTAAAATTGGGGAAATGTCCAGAACCAATCTGATTTCAGTATTCAAACATATAAATTGTGTTGCTATTAAAAATCTGCAAGATGCAAACAATACATTGAAAGCTTGCAAATGAATCAATGCATTTATTCGTAAACTACATAAAACAGATATGTCCGGAAGTTTCTGAGCAGGCTGTTTGACCTTTTGTTTTTGTTTCTCTCCCCCACAATGTGTCATTCCTGGCCAAGAAATTTGGAATATGAGCTACTCTGAAGGTGGCTGTTTGGCAGTGCTGCATTTCAGCTAGACACAACCTACCAGGCAACTTTTCCTTGGGTGTTTTCTGCCCTCTTTGTAGCGAACCACTCTACTTGATACTGTGGTTGGGGTCAGTCTTTACCGCCAGTGAACCAGTGTTTTATACCACATTGATGCATCACAAATTAGCAAGAGAGATTGGAAAAAATTAAAGTAAACTGAGCACAAATTGAAAGAAACAGCATTCGTTTAACTTGATAAAATACTTCTAACCACACTTTGAATTCTTTCATCACTGTATGTCTGTTCAGCCACCTTATATTAGCTCATAACTCAAGTATATTAACTCATTAGAAAGGATTTAGAGAACAGCTAAAAGTACATTTTCTAGACTTTGAACGCTGTGCTGGAACCACAAACCAAGTGCACGTCTGAGTATTTAGAGGTACTAAGTCCTCTTGGTGAAACTGCTTACTTTCCTTATCTAGTATTGTGGGGCATTTTCCGACCTGAGTAGAGAAACCTGACTTGCTGGACAAATTGTACCTGCCTCCTGCAATGGACAATTTTTTAGTGTGTTTCATTGTAGTTTTAGCTTTCCCTCACCTAAATGGACCTCTGGACTTATTTCTAATGAAGGTTTAAAAAAATAAACATGTTGCATAGTATTTGTGACTTTTGTACCTTTTAGCCAATTTTTATTGGCTAGCATTGTAAATGTTCTGGTTCATTGCATAAGCCTCCATGCTACAAATAGCAGCTTTGTTGCTATTTGTGGACTAATTTCTATCTATATATAGTTCTCCATAATATAGAACACCGTAGTGTATTCTTCCAACTTTGGGATTGCCTAGGTGAACTGCCATTAATGTAATCCTTGTACATTCCCAGCACTCTGAGACCTCAATGCTGGAAACATACTAGGATTGGTGCATGCACCAATGTGTCCTTCCAGAGTCTTTATCAAGAATTTGTAGAGCAATACTTTTAACATGTGTGTATTAATAATTACAATGACCTAAATTTACTGAGCTCACTTGATTATATTTGCCTCAAAGACTTCAGATAGAGGAGTAACTGAATTTTTGCTTAGAATTCTAATCAATGTTTTCTTTTTCTAGGCTTTCAAAGATATGCTTTATACAGCCCAGGACCAAGCACCATCTTTAGAAGGTAAAGTGTTTGAAGTGTCCTTGCTGAAGAGAGGGTCTCAATGCAGTGAAGCTATTGGGTTAACACTGTAACCTTGATTAATGCACATCGAACCATTTGGAGCCTACCTGATGCAACTAACATTGCCCAAGACAACTAAAGCTCAGAATTAAATGGAACAAATGCCATTGTATTTGAATATGTGAAGAGATGTCTAGGAATTAATCTGTTTTATCTTGTGTTTTATTTTCAGATAAAAAGAGTAAATCTTCGTTTTAAATCATTTGTTTCATTTGTTGCACTCGTTTGAAATCTTAGTCCGTCATATATTTGAAATGATGGAATAACAAAACAATGAATACCATTGGTTTGGAATGGTTTGTGGAAATAAAGTTCCACTATTTCTTTGTTATTGTGGTGGTATTGAAATTGAAGTAGTAGCACTGGTATACGGTATAGGAATTCACCAATTGTAATGAGCAAAACATGTCGATTGTTCTGACGGAGCTTTGTTCCAGAATCACATTTGGTTGTCTTGTCTTAAGAGATGCAGGAAATGTTTCTTGTGTCATCTAGGTTCTTGTGTGAAGGTATTTGTGCTATTTAACATTGAACACTGCTATTTACATGTGCCTTGCTCTTGTGTGCTTTACCTCTCCTGGAGTAATACAGTTTTATTAGCAATGTTGTATTCTGTTGTTGTGTATTGTGAGTAGGTTCCATCAATCCGCTGTAATTCACAGGTGTCTTATTACAGCTTTTTGATTGGAAATTAAATGAAGTTTTATTGAAATCCCACTAACCTCTATAGCATTTTCTTCTCCTCAAATGCCTTATCATTGACTAAATCATGAAGTAAAATAAGTTATTTATATAAGAAGCTCATACTTGCATGTGGTTAGGAACTGATACATTTATGCCCTGTGTAATTTGGTCTTGAGATGTCAGATGTAATTAATGGGATGACTACTTTCAGGTACGCAGATTGAAGTGCCATGTCCACAGGTCCATTGGTTGTGAGATGGTGTGACACACTGAACTAGGGATGAACTGGGTATCCAACTTGGAATTTTTCCAGTTCTTCTAGTTTGCCATGTGAATTGTGAATTTATCCATCTACTCTTGGCTCATTCCAGATAAAGAGCCTGCGAGTGATGCAAATTGGCCACAGTGGTTCAAATGTAAATAAAATTGACAGATCAACAGCAAATCTCTGATACCCTTTTACATGAACCCTCATTCTGAGAGCGGCTTAACTCAACAATAATCTCACTGCTCTGGGCAGGAGAATAACTTGTATTTTGTAGCACTCCAATGATTTAGGATTTGCAGACCACATCCTGAGACGACTGGGGCTGGTTAAATCCTTGTGGACAGTTGAAAATGGCATCAAAATGTTTTAATGCTGGCTGTGTAAAACAGGACCCACTGTGATTGTGGCACAACTCACAGCACTATTTATCATACCAGGAAAGTGGGCATCCTGGCTGCCAAGTAGTGATTCTGGACTTCAGGACTGGCTTTGAAGTTTCAACTAAAATTCCATTCTGTACAAAAACATTAATGAGTCAATGACATGTTGTGGAAATTGGCCTTGTTGATGACTTCTATCAATTTGGTATTTTTGTTACTTGGCTCTTCAGTAGGTTTAATACTTATATAATTGGATGTTTAGAATAATTACTATTGGCATTTGAGAGAGGAGAAGTACTGTTGTTTCCCTTGGGTTCTGTAGAGTGCTATCAATAGGGTATGACATTCCAGCTCAATGAGAAGCTGCACTTTGTGGTTTAGTGAACTGGAGAACTAGATAAGCAACTTCCTTAAAGGACGCAACATAAATATATGGACGTTTACTGTCATCTTGCTATAAATATGTAACGTTCCCTCAGGAAAGGAAGGACCTGTGTTTTTCTGATCTTCAGCGACCTGCTGGATGTTATCAGTGGTGATCTCTCTGCTTCTGTTCAGTAGTTCATCCCATCAGATCGAACTGACCCAGACAGATATAGCCAGCACTCAACAGGTTGGACAAATGGTGTTATCTTCAGCTCTGAGAAGATTATGTCAATAAACCTATTAAGACAACTGACAGTGATATGTCCTCTTTAAGATTAAACACTTTAATTGTAGATTGTTTGGATCCCAACTGCACTGACGTAAATGAGTGGTAAAGTTAGCTGGAAACTCTAGTAAAATAGAGCTAACCTTCCTTAAATGGAAACTATTGTCACATTAGTTTCAGAAAGGCTGCAAAGTCTGTTTGTGGACAGCGATGGAATATATTTGTTCTATTTGGCCATCTGCTGAGAAAACAAAGCTTGTTCCTGGAACAAAGTGCATTCCAAAGCCACGTAGAGTCAAGGCACTGCGTAAATCCATTCTGCTTCATCCTGAAGTTGGTCAGCTACATCAGATTGATTATGTGGGTAACAGTCCATGAAAAGATAGAGCAGCAGTGTAAGAAAGGACTTTTTTTTACTGCACCAGAGTTGCTGAACCATTATTAGTCCCTGGTAAGTTTTACCTGTTAATGATAATAATTAAAAATAATAACTTAATTTAGTATACCTTCTCCATTATTTTCTGTGGTCCTAGCACCCATATCTGTGATTCACTTGTAGGTACTGTTGCCTATATGGTGCATCATATTATACCATCTAATATATAACATATAATTGAAACATAGGCAATTTGAGCACAGGAGGACACAAATCGGCTCAGCACATTTGTGGCACTCCTACCTCATTTTATTAATTAAACTTTTATGCTCTTTCTCCACATCCCCTAATGTTTTTACTCTTTAGGCACTTATCCAGTTCTCCTTTGAACAATTTCATTGATTCAGGCCTAAATAGCCAAATGGGATGATGAATTCCACACCCCAACAACCCTCTGAGTGAACAAATTCCTGTCCAGTTATCCTATGATTGCATGTCGCTCAGGGTTGAAAATGTTGCTGAGATGATGATTGCACTGGATTAAAGCGTTCTGACCTATTTTTCTTTGAGAGGGATGGGCTATGGCTGATAAAAAGGGAAGTGAACGTGATTCATCTTTTTCTGCTGTAAACATATCTTCTGTTGCCTGGTTATCATTAATAATCATCGAAGCTGCCTGGGCTGCTCCAGATAAAGTAGACTGTGTGGAGCTGAGTACCTCTTGGGAAATCAGTCAGAGACCAATGGCATTCTTAAAATTAGACAGTCCCCGGGGAATATCTAGTTAGAAATACACAAAGGTATACCCACAAAAGCTTCATCTGGAAATATTTAATTGTAGAAATGTCTAAAATCACAGAAAGAATCATTTTCATGTTACTACTGTAAATATAATGAAACTTGAGTCCGCCAATATGAAAGCAGATGAAACTTTGTGGAGGGAAGGGAATTGTAATGTTTCCTAATGTACATGTTTGACTTCATTATTTAGCATTCGTTCACTTCATATAGCTCCTGATTGGCTCGTGCCAGCGCTTCTGCGCCTCAGGCTCTGGCAGCATCAACCTCCATGGTTGCACATTTCAACTCACCAAGCCAGTCAGGAACCTAGGTGTCTTGTTCGACCTTCAACTGTTGTTTCTTCCCAAAATCCAAGCCATGACCCGCTCTGCCTTCCCTCACCTCCGTAACGTCGCCCGACTCTGCCACAATCTCACCCCTCAGGCCGCTGAAACTCTTGTTCATGCCTTCATCACCTCCAGGCTCGACTATGCAAACGCCCTGCTTGTCAGTCTTCCCAACTCCTCCCTCCACAGGCTTCAGATAATCCAGAACTCTGCAGCCCGTGTCCTCTCCCGCACCAAACTCCGTGACCCCATTCCCCCATTCTCGCCCAACTCCATTGGCTCCCTATTCAGAGGATCCAGTTCAAGATCCTGGTCCTCACCTACAAAGCCCTCAATGGTCTCACCCCACCCTACCTCTATGACCTCCTAATCCCCTACCAACCCTCCGCTCAGCCAGCTCCGGCCTGCTCCACGTCCCCTGACCCACCCGCCCCACCATGGGCGGGAGAGCCTTCAGCCACTCTGCCCCCAACCTCTGGAATTCCATCCCCCCCAGTCACTCCGCCTCGCCCCCTCCTTAGCCTCCTTCAAGTCCTGCCTCGAAACCCTCCTCTTCGACAATGCCATTGATCACTTCCCCTCCCTTCTCTCCCCCCCCCCCCCCGACCCCAGCTCGGGTCTAAAATGCTGTACACTTTCCAGCGCCTTGGGACGTCCTCCCGATGTGAAAGCGCTATGCAAATATAATCTTGTTTTTTAAAAAAATGTCCCAAACAGTGTAATAAAGTATTCTGACATTATAATACACAGCATCAAATCTATTTCTATATGGGAAATTTCCCATTCCTGACTTTGTGTTCCCCTTGCTACAAGGCCAGCTTACTTGTGAAGCACTGCTCAGCTGAACAAACTGTCCTTCATAAAACTGGTTTGTACACATTTCCCTGTAGTCCTCCAACAGTATGCTGATCTTAATTATTCTGCTTTGTTTCGTTTCTGTTGATTCTGCTTTTACTAAAAATATTTGTTAGACGGGATGTTCTCAGTGAGCCAAGGACTGAAAATTCACTTTGAAGGTGAATTAAAAGCCTTCAAAGATGGAATTAAGAATTGCTTGATAATTAAATTTGAGGTGGGGGTTGAGGGAATTGTAAAAAGCATAAGCTATCCAGGAGGGTTGTTTATCTCTCATTGCAGACTATCTTTGATAAAACTATAATCCCATATTTATACTCGTCATCAAAGATCCCTATTCCCCTAAGGCTTTATCTATGTGCAATTAATACTGAAATCTCATTCTCTTACGTTAAAATTTGGACGATGCTTAAAGCATTCTGCTCTTAGAGCTTAGAGCTTCTGAATTTTCTGCCTGGATTACTGTAAAAAAAGTAACTCATTTCACATCTTTGGGTGCCATTTATGTGGCTCTAGTCCTACTTCTGCTTGTAAATGTTACAGATTGTGGAATTTCAAGTCTTCCATTGTCGGAGGTTATGCACCAAAAAAGTAGTCA